TATATATATATATATTTATTTCTAAACTATCTGTATAATTGGGGAAATTTAATCATGCATAAAGAAATAATCAACAAATTCTTTCAGACTAATTGCACAGAACAACAAAACAAGATTTCTTACACTTTTCCACCAATTAAATTATATATTACAAATAGCATAATAAAGTATAAACTATGTGATCATTAATTTAAAATGATTTCATACAAATTTTACTGACAATATATACTTAATAAGAAAACGATCTCAATATTAGTTAGGAAATGCATTTTCCATACATGGAAATTTTGATGACTGATGTGTTTAAAGTATTGAAAAACAAATTTCAAAAAAACCAATTAAAATGTATTTTATCACGTATCATTTTCATGTACATGATCAGAAAAACTCCAAGCATTGACAGAATAGAATCGTTTAATGTAATTGAGTGTTTTCTTCAATGAAACATCCAGTAGGTATTCACAGCACAAAGAACACTCGCAAAATGCCAATCAAGAAATTTCTGTTCAACATTATTTTGTCATATCGTATCTTTAAAATATCATTCATAATTTGTGTTGAAATTTGTTATTAATTATGTATCATGCAATTCTCTCACTCACTCTCACTCAGCAGTACAGCAATACAAGCTTTCTTCTCACACCCCACAAACATTAAACATGAGGCCTACTTTTTGAGTTTTTTTAACCCGGCAGTGGGAATGTTGGGTCTGTCAGACCCAGCGGCACCTTTGAAGCCATCTGTCAAGTGAACAAATTTATTTCTTATCTTTTCCACCATTCAACCTTCAAATTGCATCTTCTTGAACAGATGACGACCATTAGTTTGAGTTTATCAGAAAAAACATAATGTGCTATTCCCACTTAAAGTTGATGATGGGTCCATCAGACTCAACATTCCCATTTACATTACTTTTTTAAACATGGCCAACTTATCCACGAGTCATTTTAACGCATTAAATCCAAATGTTATAGAATTAATAAACAAGCTTTTAAAAAATTATGATGGTTTATCAAGTGATGAAGTTTATTTGAAACTAAAAAGTTTGCACAGATTCTGAAGAAGAAATTGATGAATCTGAACCTGAGAATCAGTAATTTAAACCTGAATCTTTTGTAATAAATTTATTTATTTAATTGCAGTCTAACTTTTATTAATAAGTTTTTAAGGTTAAGAAATGCAAATTATGTTAAATTTTGGTAGATGACAAAACACTTCCTCAGAAACATTAAAAAGAACAAAACATTGTTGTACAAAATGCTACCGTAAAACATATTACAAAACATTATATTAAACATGACTGAAAAAATGCTTTCATTATGTTTGTTGAAGTCATACAGACATATTTTGTTAATATTGCAGTTATTAGCTTGATGCAATATTTTCTTTTCTTTGTTTGATCTTCGATCACTTTCAATTTTTTTTTTTTGTCAATAGTCAGAAAATTTTCAAAATTTGGGAAATACTTTGTACTTGATATTGGATCTATGATTTATTTGCATCTTTTAATTCATAATAAAATATTTGTATAATTAATTAGTGCTTTAAATAGTCTCTAACAACAAGCAGGTCTATTAGACCCAACATTTTCACTGACATTAGAATTTTTCACGTTCCCACCACCAGGCTAAACTTAAAATTTAAACTCAATATTGAAATTATTTGGATTTTTTTTTCTAAAATTATTTATTTCATTTTCAACTTTTCTGATTATGTCATACTAAAGCCAAAGACGCGAGTATATTAACCTTGTTTCATTTCACAAGACTCAAAGTCCTACAGCTTACAAAATAAAGGAACACAAAGTTGTTTGAAATGATTTTCCACTGACAGGTGAGATACAGTTACGATATTAACTTACATGCACAATAAAAGCATCTAAACAATTTTCTTTTATCTTAGTATTAAATAAATAACCCCTTCATGACAAAAAAAATAAATTATATGAAATTTTCATATTCTTTCATTACAGACAATATTTAAAACAAATTGTGGTATATGTAGAAAATAAATTTTGTTCATTGATTATGCTAGGACTGACACCAAACTTTTCATTCTATTCAGAAATAATGTCTAAAACTAATTGTGGTATTGAGAAGATTTGCAGAAATTTATTGTACTAACTTGACCACATGAGGCACTGATGTCACCTTCCACCGAATCCTTGCCATGGTACTCTTCTCCCACAAACCACGTCAACAATCAGCACCACTGCAATGAAAACGAGTTCAAGAGTAAATTAAAGGTAGAAAACAGAATAAGACCTCACAGTAAAGTGTTTCTTACCGTACATTCAGCGTCAAGCATAGTCTCAGTACCATTAGGCATTGGACGAAGGTAGGCACTTCTCACATAAAGCACGCATGCAGACTGGGAGCGCGGGGCAGGTGCCCCTCCCCTCTGGCAGGCAAAGCACGCGGACACACGCGTGCTCCCAAGCGAAATTTGAGAAAACATGCAGTTGCTGTCACCGGTGAAGTGACTACAGCCATGGTGGCGATAATGACATCACAGGAGCGATCTTGTCACGCCCACCGTATTAGTGGGGCCATCGGTATACCAGCCACGAAACTCAAACGGTTTCTTCAAATACGTGCGATAATGAGTAATCTCACCATATCTTGTTAGTACTTGTAAACACTCTAACCTCATACACACTTGTCAAAAGCCACGGAAACAAAACACCGGGTTGTCATGGTTGACAACAGCGAAATGAAATTTAGACATTCTCGCCAACATTCACAACGAACGCGCGGTTTTGAAACCGCTAGTAAACCCAAAGAATAATAAAACAAGTCAACATTTATACTTTCTCGGTTACGCGGTAGAGAGAAAGTTATGTAATGCTCCGCGAAAAAACGACGAATTTTCGGCAGAAAAAACCCTTACTGCAGGGTCCTGGCAACGAAAAAGGGGATACGTTCTTATGCTAAATTAAAAAAAAATCCTCTAGCACGTGGTGTAGCCGGAATCCATTAAGGTCCCACACCTTGATACCAAAAAATAGATTTACGACAATACATCTGACCGTTCAGCCGATTTTCTCCGAAATTGATATTCCCCCATCGATCTGGCTGATGTCGTGGACTCTTGAATTTGAAACTGGTGTTTTAATTTTGGGGAGTACTTTACTTCAAGCCCCTGGAACATATTCCCAATTTTCAAAAAAATGGTTCCAGATTTTTTTATTAAACTTTGTTATTAGATAGTGTGAATGACGTTTAAGAGAATGGCGCAAATCTAATGTTCGTAAAAAAGCATAATTTTTCTAAAATTGAAAAAATTCAAAATTTTCTTAGTGTCATCCTACAACTATAATTATGAAGATATATTTTTCTTAATGAAATAATTAAAAACCTATCTAAAAGTAATGTCATGTTCAATTTTTCGAAAACATAAGTAATTTGTGCGAAATTTCGTCATACAAAGGAATTGTTTTGCGTTTAAATAATTTTTCTTAAAAACGGCACCCATAAAAAAAATGTGGTTCCCATACGTGTGTTCAACAGTGCTAATTGGCAAAATATGTATCCCATACGAATTAGGGGCTGTTGTTGCTTGTTTCAACACTTAGTTGCAACGCCGCACTGATAACAGGAGACAAGGACGGCTGTCTTTCGTTGTGTTAATATAAACTAATAATTTTATTTACGACTAAAATAAGCATCGTGCATCATTGATACATTTATGTAGAACGTGAATACACTGAATTTAATGGAGGAAAGCTGTTTTCGTTTAAGCATTTGAATTTTAAAAAAGATATGTGTTTTTCACGCATCGCTAAAGAATTGTTAAAATGGTAGTTGAAGTGTAAGACAGAAATTGTCAGATTATAATATTAGATAGCCATTAACAATATCGCGAAAAAGTACGAGCTGTTGTAGCACCACTAGTTACTTTCCCGTATACGTACGTATGTATTGTATGTATCGTATGGGATTCGTTAAACGAAGTGAACACTAAATTAAGTTCTTTATGCTACGCTTTCAGAATTCTTTCAAATTCAGTCAGCCTACACACTTTTCGCGAATGTTCATTTCCGCCTGAGATTCATGGCAAAACAAACTTCTGGGGAAATACATCTTGTAGTTCCCAGGACTTTTTAGATTAAAAAACGAATTGTACGAAATATAGCTAACAGCCCACCTACACCGTGATTCTTGTAAGCTCTCACTTTCTCCATCTTGGTTATTATCCAATTGACCTTACTTGTTCGATTCTTTCATACATGAAATCAGTGGGCTTTTATTCAGCAAACGCCGTTGTCTATAACTACAACACTGGACGTAGTAATCGTATAGGATTTGTTTTTCCAAATTGAAGAAACCCCTGTCCATCTGGCTTGAGTCGAAACTTTAAGATTTTGAGAAACATTCTCCAAAATTTAGGGGTACTTTACATGAAGCCTTCTGGACATTTTCAAAATTTTCTCAAAAATGGCTCCAAATTTGTTCTTGAAATTTCTTGTAAGACTAGAGTAACATACACTCACAGAAGTGGCATAGGTCCAATTTTCACGGTTAACTCTGAATTGTTTCAAAAATTTAAAGCTTGGTTTTGAAAAATTGCATTTTGGCAAAAACATGATTTTTTTCGGTGTCTTACTACAACTACAAAATTAAAGATAGAGATTTTTCTCTTCAAATGAAATTTTTTCTCTATAGTGAGTTCTGTCATGAAGATCATGTACATTGTTGAAAATTTTAGTAGTTTTGCGTAATATTGTGTGCAATATGTGCAATTAAAAAAGTATCATAAATAAGATTTTCTCAAAAATGGCTCCAAATGTGTTCTTTAAACTTTTGGTAGGGATAGTACTAAACGCACTTTATAAAATGACGTAAACGACATATTGCTCTATTCTTTTGTTTAAAAAAATTAAAAATATGTATTTTTTACTTGTCTTTCACATAGTTTATATTTACACTAGCAGGGATTTGTTCCCATTTTTATATTCATGAGTACATGAACGTTAAATAATGTCATATAAAGTTTCTAGAAAACTCAACCGTTTTCTGTATAAACTAGCTCCAACTTCCAGACAACGCCCAAACGCCAGTTTCTTAAAAACGGCTCCAAAACTTTCCTTCAAACTTTTCGGAAGGCTAGTGCTAATTTCAGTCTTTAATATGAGGTACCGTTCATTTTTTCAAAGTTTTTGTTTTTTCAAAAATTACACAAATGTAATTTTTTTTAAAGATTTCTCACGCAGTTGATATGAACATTTTCAGCAATTAGTAAAAACTATTGTATTTGTGAGTTAAAGTGCTTCAAATGAAGCTTTTCGAAAACCCAAAAATGTTTGATGGAAAAGTGCTTCATATTTCGAATTTACTGAAGGGCTATGTAAGAAATCTTTGTCGTAACCGTGTAGAAGTCACGGCACAACGAAGACTTGCACCATGTTTTCTCGGAGATTTCAGTTCCAGTTAAAAGAAAAATATTCATACACAGGTTTATTAACCCTTTACCGCAATCATCATTATCAACAGCGCCAATAATTTGTATGTTCATTTCTTCATTTATCAATACTTCAGAGTAAATTAGACACTTTTGTACATTTCAAGTTAACTACATCTCAAATAAATTGTCGAAATAAAAAAAGAGGCCAAAGTATAAAAATCATTTATTGCTTATCACGAATGTGCGCCTCTATGCTTACAGTATAGTGCAGTGCAGAAAACAACTCCGCCCTGAAGCTCGCCGCGTCAGGGCTGAGTGGTGCAAATCGCATTAGGAATACATCAGCAGCGCCGCTGCCGAAGTCTGACAGTCCAGGACCCGTCCTTGCGCCGGGCGACAGCACTGAACGGAAAGCGGGGGAGCTACACCCCCTCGAAATCAGTGCCGGACCTCGAGCCACGAGCCATGGAGGCTCGAACCCGCGGATCGGGCTCAAGGGCGTACAGCAACCCTTCGCGAAGATTCGCCACCTGAACACAGCACCATTGCAAGAGAACCTCAGAGAAGAGAGAAAGAGAGATTCCCGACTACTAGAGAAAATTGACCGGATTGCGACGTCGAAGTAGGGCATGATTTCTTTGAAGTCACCTTATATTGCATGTTAACACAATCAGTTTGGGATATACAAATACTAAAAATACGTACTGAATGTCCTGTAATATATGTTACGCTCTTCTTACGTATATCTATGTATGCATTTGAAAATTTAGTGTCGGATTAATCCGACTTTTCCTGAAAGCGGTGCTCCCAGGCCTGGGCTCTGTTTTTATTTATTATCCACACCTGGGAGCAAGAGAGACACGTGGCGAGCATAACGTACTCCCATTGCCGTACCTAGCTTACTTGACCCGACTAAGCTTTTTTCTTTCGTCGCATAGCTACAGAAACGGAGAAGATTTGTATTAGAAGGCTACAGCTTCATTTTTTCCTCAGGGAAACCATCAGAAAGCTAGCATACTGTCTACAAGCCATTCACTCTTCCCATGGTTTCTAAGTCTTAATAACAATGTTAAAAAATCACGCACTCGTCTCATACCCTTTTTGATGTTTTCTGTACACTTAACATCACGTTATGAACTCACTTCTTGATGATCTCAACATATTTTTCCCCCAGAAAGAAGATGTCATACCAAAGAATTTCAAAACAGTACATGTAGCAATAGAATTGAGTAAATTAAGTATGTATTTTAAATCAACAGTACGAATTATGGGCAGAACAAAGAAAGGATTGATTGTCGTCAGGGCCGTTTTAACATCATTGACCCTTGGGCCAAAGTTAATTATGGCGCCCTCTGTTCTTATTTTCACCGATTTCCCCCCTCCTCATTTGGATGTAGAAATATAAAGAAAGTCCTAACAATTTGCATTGTGTTTTGTTTTTTGCTGTTGTTTTTAAATATTTTTGAAAGTATATCTTAGTGTTTCAATTTAACGTTATTCAATGTTGAAAACTTCATGCACATGAATTAATTTAAATTGTAAAAAATAATTATTTAAAATATTTAAAGACAAATTTCGTTAAAAAATTAAACCTATCATTACTGAGTGACATTTTCACATCAACCAGACAACATTCCATATTTATCAAATTGTGTGCAACACCATTCCGTTACGCCAATATTTTGCGAATGGAAGTTTAATCACACAACATTTTATATGTTTTTTTAAATTTTATTTTTTGAACAACTAGTATTACATGTTTTTACAACTATCAAGGGCTCTCGAACATTACGGCCCTAGGCCCCGGCCCTTCGGTCCCGTGCGTTAACACGGCATTGATTGCCGTATACTTTTGAGACCTCACCTGAATCCTAGGCAAGCCTTATGAAATTCATTACGGGTAAAGATGAAATGTGTATGAAAAGAGATTAATCGGGGGTATAGGTGAAATAGAAAATGCCCCTGAGTTCTGAAACACCAACAAAAGGAATGAGGAAGAACACCAATACGCAAAGGATTATTAATAAAGCGATCTGAGCGAATTTCGAGAAAGAAATAGGACAAACATTTTAAAATGAAAGATCTATTGAGTGCAAATTTTTAAAAATGAATTGAAAAAGAATGGGCTTCCTACACTAGAAGAAGGTACCTATTTTGTCTGAATGCCTAAAATATGGAATAGAGAAAGCAAATTTATTTTTGTGACTGAAAAAAAAATTCTTGGAGAACAGTTTGAAAAACATTATGTGGGTTTGTTCTCATTTCGAAGAAAAAATACGTTGAGGGGTCTAT